AAAGTTCACAGAACACACAAAAGTTCACAGAACACACAAAAGTTCATAGACACACACAAAAGTTCATTGACACACAAAAGTTCACAGAACACACAAAAGTTCACCAACACAAAAGTTCACAGAACACACAAAAGTTCACAGAACACACAAAAGTTCATAGACACACACAAAAGTTCATTGACACACAAAAGTTCACAGAACACACAAAAGTTCACCAACACAAAAGTTCACAGAACACACAAAAGTTCACAGAACACACAAAAGTTCATTGACACACAAAAGTTCACAGAACACACACAAAAAAAAGTTCACCAACACAAAAGTTCACAGAACACACAAAAGTTCACCGACACAAAAGTACACAGACACACAAAAGTTCACAGATCACACAAAAGTTCACAGACACACAAAAGTTCATTGACACACACACAAAAGTACACAGACACGCCTGTTGCCACATAGTTGCACAAGTTTGTACACACCACCATCACACACTTACTTAAATCATTTAGGAAGCTGGCTGATTTGGCCCTGCGTGTAATGACCCACATGATATATATATATATGTGAGGCATCGTAGTGAAATCAGGCGCTCGTCGAAATAACGAAATCGTAGAAACAGGTATTTTTCCCCTTGTTTGGCAATTTTTTTGATCAACATTTTGTTTTTTTGGCTCAACCCCTTTTACATCCATCTATACGCACATTTCCAGGTGAATTTTACAGAAAAACATTGATTAAAAGCACAAAATATGTCATTTTTCAGTTTTCAAGGACTCTTTAGCTATTGGGGTTACCAAACTTTGGCGACCATTTTCTCGCTAATTTCACCACTGAAACCAGGAGAGCTCACTTCCTTCAACGTCAAATACCTAGAGTTGTATTCAAGATAAATGGAATATAATCTATCTCACTGAAAGCAAGGCAAATCAATCAGCTTTCAAATAATACCAATATGTCCAAATATTGACGAGCGCCGGATTCCACTGCGTGGTGACACATTCAGATCATTTAGGAGGCTGGCTGCTTTGGCCCTGCTTGTCATGACCCACATGATATATATTTGGTCGCTTTTAAGGACAAGCGGGCTAACCCAGATTTTGGGGTTTCCAGAAATCTTGACCTACACCAAAAGTGGTCATTGCCCTACCTATAGGGGAAGTTTGGTTTCATTGGTGTGTATATTTGTTTGGTTATAGAGAAAACTCTCCTTGTCTTTTCAAGAAACTGAACAAGGGGCAAAAACTTTACCTTCGATTTTCTTAAAACAGCATTTTTCGTGCTTAAAAGCCACCATATATGTATCCAAAACACACACATAGCGAAACAAGCACATAAAAAAATACACACACAGCACACAGGTTTTCAGGTCCCAGAGTGTTGTTCCTATATATATGTAATATACATGTATATATTCTTCGCATTGAAATAAAACAAATACTCCGCAAAATGCGCACACGATGAAAAGACATTCCCTTTCCGCCGGTTTGGCTCCCCGCGTGCTAGACTACATAATGTTATGTCACTGTCAGAGTTTTAAGTCCCCCTCGACACAATTTAGATCATAATTTAGGGGGCGGGCTGCCTGCCTCTGCCCGGCTTGTGCGGGCCAACCCCTGCAGGGTGGAAAATGAGAGACTTCCAGGTGAAATCAGGCGCTCGTCAAAATAACGTAATTCCATAAATCAGAAGTTTTAGGCAAGTTTGGCAATTTTTTTTCTTCAAATTTTTGTTTTTTGGCTCAACACCTTGTGTGTCTATTCAAACAAAATTTTATGCGTGGATTTTATGGAAAAAAAACGTTGGTTAAAAAAACGAAAAAAGTAAATTTGCATTTTCCAAGGACAATCAAGCTTTGAAAGTCGCCAAACTTTGGCGGCCATTTTCTCGTAAACTTTATCTATGAAACCAGGCGATCCCCACCTCCTTCAGTCGCAAATATCTCGACTTCTGTTCAAAATAAATGGATCTTTTTTTCCTGTAAAGCAAGGCAAAGGAACAACCTTTAAGATGACACCATTAACCCCATATGCCCAAAAATTGACGAGCGCCTGATTCCACTGCGTCCTGACACACATATATAACAGATCTCTCCCTGGGATCAAACTCTTATCTTAGGAAAAATCTACACCTAGCCTTCTCGGACAAGGGCGAAAAATCTAGGAAGTCCCGCGAGCAAGTTGCGCACGTCAAAGATCCCTTGGTGGTCTAAAATCGATAAGAGTAGGCTTCATCCGCCATCCGGGCAAAATTAAAAATTTCCTACTAACTGAAAATGTTTCAAGTGTCCCCAGCGCTCATATGACCTTACGCAGGTGTGAGCGCCGTAAAAAACTTACCAAAAAACCCCCAAATAACAAACTCTTGTCTTGAGCGTACTGTGGTAAAAAGCCTACAAACAACACCATAGACTTTGCTGCAGTGGTATGGGTTCAAACATAACACATTAACCCTATCCGTACGCCATGGGGTCATTTTGTACCCCCGGGGTTGTAGTCTTCACATTTTAGAATACTTCTAGTACGAAGATCTCTTTGAATCTTTCAGTATTTCTCAAAAAATCATTTTGACAGACTGCTATGCAAAGCGTACGGATCCGATTAACGGGTAAATTTCCTCTTTGGAAAGTGGTGGCACAGAGTTCCCCACGTCGTATGGATACAATAGTAAAACACGACGTACGGACAGGGTTAATAGACAGCATTTGTATAGCGCAAATCCCTGCTCAACAGCAAGCTCTATGCGCTTCACAATCTATACTATTACCCCAGTAGACCTGAGAGCATTCTGAAACATTTATATATAACATAAAACTGTTTAATGGAATGGACGTTCTCAAAATGGAAAGTGGTCTCTCTTTCTAAATTAAAAAAAAAAACAAAGTAAAAATGCCAGAGTAAATTGAAATCCAGTAACATTTGACTTTTTTGTTACTTCTTGATTGGGGTGGGGTTCGGGTGGGGTTGTGGGAGGTGGGGGGTTATGGTGGGGTTTTTGGTGGGTTTGAGGTGGGGTTGGGGGAGGGGTTACGGTGGGGGGGCGGGGGATGTGGGAGGGGAGGTGGGGTTTTTAATGGGGTTGGGGGTGGGGTTATGGCGGGGAGGGGGTGGGTTTTTTAATGGGGTTGGGGTGGGGTTATGGAGGAGAGGGGGGGGGGGGGTAACCGAAGGGAAGGGGCCGAATTGTGGGGGGTTTGGGGGTGGGGTTCACGGTGGGGACAGGATAATATCACAACCCTCTCTGAGACTGAATCTCATTTTGTCATTTTGATTGACAGGCAGCAAAAATATTTCCTTCTATCCTCACCCACAACGGCAGATATATATATATATGTAAATAATATATATGGTCGCTTATAAGGACAAGCGGGTTTACCCAGATTTCCGGGGTTTCCAGAAATCTTGACCTACACCAAAAGTGGGCATTGCCCTACCTATAGGAGAAGTTTGGTTTCATTGGTGTGTATATATTTGTTTGGTTATAGAGAAAACTCTCCTTGTCTTTTCAAGAAACTGAACAAGGGACAAAAACTTTACCTTCGATTTTCTCAAAACAGCGTTTTTCGGGATATCTCCGTTGTGCTTAAATTAATTTAACCCCTTCACTGCTGAAAAATTTCCATCAACATCAGTAGGCCTATCTTCAAGATAAAATATTAATTCAAGGAATGTTTACAAACAGAGAATTGTTTCAGAATAAGCAAAATCACAAGCTACTGTAACTAACACAACTAAAACTGTTGTCAAGCAGATGAAACAAAACGAGTGGAGAATACAAGCCAGAACATACGTCTACCCAAGTGAACAGGTTAAACGCGACCATACGGGAGGCGTGCGGACAATGAGTCACTTCTGCTCACAATCCACAAACAGAGATATTGGCCAAAAATCGACATTAGGTTCAAATTTGTAGATTTGCCATTGGTGCCACATATTCTTGAACTATAACCTATCTGTTATCATTTCAGTTTTAGTTTTAGTAGAGGGTTTTACGGCGCTCGCAACTGCATAAGGTCACTTGAGCGCCAGAAGATTAGAGGTGTTACAAGAGAGTAACATACATAAAAAAGAACAAGGGGAGATAAGGACGATAGACATTTGATAGGAAAGAAGAAGCAGAGCACCCGCCAACCGCCCACTATTATTTCATACGTATAAATAGAAAAAACTTCACCTATAATAAGCGTGATGTAATTATTTCCTTAAGGCTTGAATCCCACGAGAAGTAGGCCTACCCCATTTTGTCTGCACGCTTCATATATAGATCTATGTATGTATACCTGAGAACAAAACGCAGAATCACGAGTGCGGAATCATATCGGAGCAACAACAGACGGGGAACTGTGGTCCACGCTCGGCAATGACGCGGGGCACAAACGGGAAACCTCTGGAATGTTCTATTGGAGGGCCGCCGAGTAAACTACGGGACGTTGTGCTTTTCCAAAGTTAACAGGAGAGACGAAAAAACAGATTTTCTTCAAGCGGTTCGGGTGGAGAAACTTCATTTTCATAACGGATCCTACTGTCAGTCATGGCAATTGTGGACTCCCTTATGAAAATGAAGTTTATCCACCCAAAATGTTTCAAGAAAATCTGGGGTTTTTTTGGGTCTCTCCTGCACTATCTACAGACTTCCTCCGAGACGATCAATTTGTACGTATAACAATACATTTTTGTATACCTATATCACAGGCTTCTTCCGAGACGATCCATTTGGGCGTACTACAATCCAGCTTTCTATAGCTGGTCGTTTGTACAGGTGATGGTCTGACTCCCAACCAGACTATCCATTTTTCTCTACCTGTACTATTGAAAAGCTTCCTGTGTTTTACAATACACTTTTATATACTGTACTATACGTTCTATAGGCTTCCTGTGTTTTACAATACACTTTTATATACTGTACTATACGTTCTATAGGCTTCCTAGGAGAATATCTGTTTGTACGTATTACAATATACCTTTATATACCTGGACTTCCTAAGTTTTACAATACACCTTTATAATATATACCTGGACTTCCGATGTATTACAATACACCTTTATATACCTGGACTTCCTATGTATTACAATACACCTTTATATACCTGTACTATAGACTTCCTATGTATTACAATACACCTTTATATTACCTGTACTTCATTGTGCATTTTACAATACACCTTTATATACCAGGACTATAGGCTTCCTCTGAGATTATCCATTTGCGTGCATTACAATACATCTCTTTAACCTGTATCATAGACTTCCTATGTATTACAATACACCTTTATATACCTGTACTATAGACTTCCTATGTATTACAATACACCTTTATATTACCTGTATCATTGTGCATTTTACAATACACCTTTATATACCAGGACTATAGGCTTCCTCTGAGATGTGCATTACAATACATCTCTTTAACCTGTATCATAGACTTCCTATGTATTACAATACACCTTTATATACCTGTACTATAGACTTCCTATGTATTACAATACACCTTTATATACCTGGACTATAGACTTCCTATGTATTACAATACACCTTTATATACCTGTACTACAGACTTCCTATGTATTACAATACACCTTTATATACCTGTTGATATGTGTACATTGTTCGTGTTTCGTACCATTTCGCGATGGATGTTTTTGTAACCACTGAGTTCAGCACGAGATTAAAAGACTGGTGAGTCATTCCCTACTCAGCCAGCAAACGTGCGAGTCGAGTCCGCTCTTCTTTGTCTATAAGTTAAACCAAACGGCATACACGCTTACAATCAATACCTGGACCACAGACTTCCAAGGAGATTATCCATTTGTGCCAGACACCCTTGATATCAACCCAAAAAAAAAACCAATAACAAAATAAACAACAACAACAACACAAAAAAACCCTACAAAAATCCCCAACTTTTGTAAAAAAACCTGAACAATGTATGGTCCTGCGTTAGTGACAGAGTAACAAGTGACAAAATTGGTGAAATGGAATAACAACAACAACAATATAATATATGAACTTTGTATAGCGCTCAACCCTGGTCCAAAGAACAAGCTCTCAGCGATATATATACCAGTTTTATATATACCAGTTTTATATATACCAGTTTTACCTGACCATGAAGGAATAAAGGTAGAAAGCTGAAATTTGGTACTACGCTTAGTCTTTCTTTCTGTAGTCGCCTCCCAGAGTTATACATGTTTGCCCTCTGTGTATGACCGTGAAAAGACCTTGAGAATAGAGGACCCTCTCTATGTCAGAAAAACATCCCTCTACCGCTTCTTTGACCTCATCCTCACTTTTTTACACCAAAATTTTATCACAGCATAGGACGGGCAATCAGTTCCATATACGGCATGCATCTCCGCAAAAATATCCTGTAGTTGCTCGCCTTGCAAGAACAAATACTTCATTACTGCCCTGTGCTCAATTTTCTCCATTTTTGTGTTGAAACTGGAGAACCACATACCCCCATTCACGTACAGCGCGCTGGTGGCAAAACCAGTAACCTGAAATATTCCCCAAAATTTACAAGCATCCTAGGAAGACGATAGCTGGCTTTCACCCCAAATTCCAGCTTTCTACCTTTATTCCTTCATGGTCAGGTAAAACACTTTTGGTATGCCCCTCGTATATATATATATATGTGAGGCAGCGTGGTGGAATCAGGCGCTTGTCAAAATAATCACAGTGAAGAAACTGACATTTTTATGCAGGTTTGTGAATCTTTATCCAATTTTTGTGTTTGGGCTCAACACCTTTCTCGCCCCATTATTAAAGAACACATTTCCGTGTGGATTTTACTGAAAAACGCTGATTAAAGGCACAAAAAAATGTAAATTTTCAGTTTCCACGAACTCTCAAACTAAGGAAATAACTTATCTTTCGCAGCCATTTCTTGACTTCAAATCAAGCTAGATGGGTATTTTTAGCGCGAAATGGAAGACAAGTGAGCTACCTTTCAAGATTATACTGTATTGTCGCAATGTCTATCCATCTATCCATCCATCTATCCATCCAACCAACTATCTATCCATCCATCTATCTGTCTATCTATCTATCCAACCAACTATCTATCCATCTATCTATCTATCTATCCAACCAACTATCTATCCATCTATCTATACATCCATATATCTATCCATCTATCTATCAAGAGCTGTAATTCATCGCTCGTGCGCCAGTGAGGCTGCCAATACAGAAAAGGCGTGGCCTCTGAGGATCGCCAGTGGCTCTCTCTACCAACCACCAGAGAGACTCTCTCTACAACCACCAGAGAGACTCTCTCTACCAACCACCAGAGAGACTCTCTCTACCAACCCCCTCGTCCAACTAGTACTTATACCTCCATCAGCCCAAAAATAGACCAGCGCCTGATTCCACCACATCGCGGCTGATTCCACCACATCGCGGCTGATTCCACCACATCGCGACACATATATATGAGGAGTCCACTAAAAAAAAACGGGCGTAGTCATAAACTGGAAATTGTGAGGGTGTCAATTTTAAAAGCTTGTGGACTCATAACTTCACATTTGTTTGATTGGCTGTTTAATTTATACGTTTGTTGGATGGGGAATCAAATGACAATAATCAACCAACAGCTGAACAGAAATACAGTTACGAGTCAACAAGCGTTCAAAATTGATACCCTCACAATTTTCAGTTTGTGACTACGCCCGTTTTTTCAGAGGACTCCTCGTATACTCATACAGATTCTCCACCACATCATGACACACATATATATAGATTC